AATCAGAGACACTTGTTATTGTATGAGCCGCGTCACATTTGAGACCAAATACCTATAGTTATTTGCTGCCAAAGTTCCCCCACATTGACATGAAGCTAATCCTTTATTACGTCACAGATCCGATCTAAATGACGTCACGATGAAATATAAAAGTCGCAATATCTCAAAAAGTATGCAATGAAAACGCGTAAAACTTGCAGAATTCGTCACAATATCATGAGCAACATTTCCGAATCCTAAATGGTACTTTTTTGAAGGTGGGATAGTCCCTTTAAGGTGGGAGGGTCCCTTTAACGTGGAATCCCCCATACACTTTACACAATTAAAGGAAGACTGCCACCTTTGAAAAGTTCGCACAAAACCATGCTTTTAGGGTCTCAATCACCATTAATGATTTTTTAGAGTTAATTAGGCGTTTCACAGTCACGCAACTTGCAAATTTTTTGTCATGTTATCGTTATTATAATTCGGGTAAAAAAGCACCTTCATGTTTATGACTTGAACTAGAGTTCAAGGTCGTATGAAATGGAAGCGGATTTTGTCGCCATAAATGGCGCGCTAGTTTCATTTATAACTGCATTACATGGTATTATTTCCTTGTGTATTCCCCTGCTGCGAATCAGGCTACAGCCTCCTCTTGTGATATAGGTATCTGGTACCTATTTATGGTATATTTGTTTTAGTTTGAGTTGAATATTAACTACTTACTTCTTAGTTCTTAGAGACATATCAGTAGGCGGAACTATGGTCAAGCGTACCCATTTTCGGGAACGCATTTTCGTTCCCATGTTTGGGAACGATAAACCCAAATATGGGAACGCCATGTAGGCATCATTTAAAACAAGAGAAAGAACCGTTAAATGACGTCCAAAAAATATACAACGATCGTGAACCGCCTGATATTTGTCTCAATATTGTTGGGAAAGAGTTTGATATTGTAAGGCCCATCGTAGTTTCAAATCGTTCCCCTATTTCTAAAGCAGTCCATCACCCGGGCCGCGAGCCCAAATTTGGGAACGCTCTCGTACAGTGGGTCTATTTAAGATCTCCAGAGCCACCACGTGGCGCTACGGTCGGGGTAGGGCGAGTCCAAATCCCGAGGGAAGTGAGGTCACCGGTCATTGTGGGGGAAGGAGGGAGGGGGAGTGACGCGGTATCACGGCGCATGGGGCGTGCGTAGCGCCGGGCAGGGCCGCGCCGCCCGCCACTGCGCCGAGGCTGAGGGGAGGGGATGATGGTTGCGGGTGCGTTCACTCCGGTATGGTGGTATCCTGTTCACGTGGAACCGGCAGGAATGCGACTGAAGGGAATCATTATCTCAAACGAACGGGCAAGCCAGAGGCACCGTCAGTTCCAGCCAAAATGTTGAACAATGATAATTGAAATCTAGGACGTATTCATAGCATGCAACTGTTCAGTCGATAGTTGCATGATGCTTTTCATGATGCAATATGCATGATGAGGCTTTTCCAAACTGTTATTTGTGTTAGATATTTTTCATTTGGCACGTTCAGTTTTGGTGGGTTTTATCGGGTCGAAAAGAAGCATAAAAGAAAAATGTTGAAACGGCTCCAGACAAATGACCAAAAATATTTTTCTTTAAAAAATGAAACTTAGCTGAACATTGATAAGCGATAATTTTGACTTTTGGAGAGGATAACGGGGAAAGATATTGGGGAAATATGTCATCGTGCTTATCTGTGTTGCAGTAGAAGGAAAGGTTTTGGTTCGTGTCTAGCTAAAAACGGACCCGGGAGTGGGGCTCGAACTCACGACATCGCATTCAGCTCACAGGTTACCCAACCTCAACGCTACGAGCACCTATCGCCTTGCGCAGCTTACTCAGTGTTTCGGCTAAAGTTCGGCCAAGGTGTCTGACGTCTGTCAATGTCACGAGGCGAAACCCCAAGGTAAATGTCCGTCCCGGTAGCTCGGTCGGTAGAGCGTTGGACTCCATGTGCCATATGGTGAGAGCGCACGTCCCGGTTGAAAAAGTCCGGGTTCGAAACGCGGCGTGTGCTTGACGTTTTTGAGCGGCTCCTGACGGGTATGGCTGTGGTTGGTGGCAGGCCGCTGCCAGGCGAAGTCAGTGAGGGGACCGGCCGTGCGCGGCTATGTGCGCACGTTAAAATTTGGACTCTAAATTCTGTCATAGACCAGGAATTGCTTGATCGGAGGGTAGAGAGCAGGGTCAACGCAACAAGCTCAGCTTAGCGGGGACTTTGCCCTTGTGATTCCTTTCTTTCAAAAGGTCCGGGCAAAATTTATATTAAAAAAAAGGGGGAGCCGAACCAGGTTGGGCCGGGTTGAACCCGGTTGGACCGGTGTCTTACACGCAATCGTGGTCAGACAAAACAGAGGCTAATTTCGGGTCAAATATTTTTATGAACTGATCTTATTGTTTTTGGCTTACACGTATAATAACTTTAAGCTTTTTAACTCCAGACTTCATGCACAAAAATGTGGCATTCGTTCACTTTTCCTCATCTTCTCGTAGCGACTTGATTTGACCTTTTGTCTTACCAGCCAAAAAAAAAAAAAATCACCTGCGTGATAATTACCTATTTGCCAAAGGGCGTTCTACGCATGAAATACCAGCCGGTCAAAAAACTGGCGAACGATACGATCTTTCTATTTCTTGAATTATATTCAATGAACATTTCAGGAGACATAAATAATCTTAATCCTTATAGCTACTGGGCGCCCGGAGCATTCGCTAGCATTCCATTGCCAGCTGCATTACCAACATCACATTTGCATTACTTTGGGTTCATCATAGTTGACAGTAGATGAGCCGGCCACAGCAAACCCATGCCTCATTATCCTTTCCTTCCAAGCAGCCAACTGTCAAGCTAACCGGCCGCCCGGTCCACCACCGCGATATGGAACAACGCTGGAGTGCGCCATTTGCCTGCGGCAGTGCCCCACCGCGCCGGGGCTGTTTGACAGGTCACCCGCACCGTGACCTCGCCAACCGCCCCCCCCCCCTCCGCCCACCTCCCCAACGGGCTCAGCTCGGTAGTGACCTCTCCTTGAATCTCACATGGACTCGACTGAGGCTCAACGCCATCTAGTTGCGTCTGGAGATCCTTACTAGATCCACTGTACACTGGCGCTGCAAGCGTTCCTTATTATGGGAACGGCGTACCCAAAATTGGGAACGATTTCACCGACGCCTTTCACGGACTCTTTTCATTAACAAGCATCACGACCAATGCCGCAAGTTATTGTTAACGCAACAATCATAAGATGACCTTTCCGGCAAGACCACCGCATGTTTCGCCGGGTCTTCTGCGCTCTTACTCCCGTCGATCCCGCAGCGGGCACGCCCCACTCTGCAGGATTACGTAATTCACAACGCTCAGCGACGTTCAACAAGGTCTTCCATACCTATATCCACCGTCCGCGCCAAGGATGGAGGCATGTCAAGCACCAGGGCTGTCTCATCCCTATCTCCGTAACGTGTCGTGTGCGACCAATGACGTCACGGCATTGCGGCGTTCTGATTGGGCGGCAGCTCTGAATCGCCCGACTGGTGGTCCCCGCTCGACAAGCGCACGTGCGCCGACTGGACATTTGTAGTGGCATTGACACGGCAGAAAAAGTGAGGTAATGCAGAGCTCTGAATATACTTGAATAGAGTCTAAGCCGTTAGTAATACGTAAAAACGTCAGAAAGGTTTCTTGTTCGTCTTGATTTGAGCTTTTATGTGATATAACTTTTACCTTAGTGTCGAGGTTGGCAGCTATGTGGGAGAGCCCTAAAGTTGGGTCATTTTCCATAGGATTGCATTACAGCCGTCCGACCCTTCGTACCAGTGACGTCACGGAAATCGCTGCTTCGGCCTAATGAGCATACCTTCTATATAGGGCCTTGGTCAAGCACCTGTCTGTTTATCACCGATAGTTGACGAGCACAAGGAAGTATCCAAAAATGGGAACGCTGAATGTTTCACTCTCAAAACGCCTAGTCCCAATACAAGTCTAGTTTTTTCCTTTCTTAATGAGTGTAAGTGGCAAAAAGCCTGGTAGGATGGGCACGAGAAATGATCGAAATCAGCATAAAAATTATAAATAAGCCACACAGAGCGACCTATATAAAAGAAATTCCCCCAAAACGATCATGCTTAGAAAAACCGAAGACAAAAACCACACTCATGACGCTCCTTAAAAACAACGCTTAACAGCTAGCATCCAAATAAAATATGTCTTTCAGGGTTCATGAAATACAGCTGAATAATTTTCAACCACTTAAACTGAGTTTACAACAGTAGTTCCGTGAATTCACTCACGTTCCACGCGGTCGTCCGCCCCGACACCAAAAGTCAACAATATTACCTCGGGACTGTCCGCGTGTTCGCTTGAATATGTCAGCATCTGGTGTCGCTAGTGTGAAACTTCATAACCAGGCGAAAATTATTATACTTGACCTCAAAATGTAAAAACGCTTCATTTTCCTTAAAATTGCATGTTAAATGTAGTATAGCCCATGTTTTCACCATTCCGTCATTTCAAAAAATCATAAAAAATATCATTCGACGGTCAATTTCCTTGTTCCACGGTCAGATTAAAGATAATGTTATAGAGACTTAGTAGATACTTAAATGAGCGTGCACTTTTTTGAGACGTGATGCACTAATGAGTTTTTGTGGGCGAACGGCCGAAAAATTACCTACCGTTCTCATAAATGGGAACGCCCGTTCCCATATTTGGGAACTCCGCTCCCAAAAATGGGAACGTTCCTATATTTGGGTACTCATGACCATAGTTCCACCTACTGATATAGCAATTAAAATTGCATAGATAACTCATTGTGGGACTGGTTCTTTTTATGGGATTGAATGCTATTTCTAGATGTGAAATGAACTATTTGAAATTGAACAAGTGAAATAAGTGAAAATATGAACAAACTGAATGAGTACAATTCCTACCCTGTATTCCTACCTCATATTCTTACCTTGTAGGGTTCATATATTTGTTTACTATTTTAGCTTGGAAAAATGCCTGCGACCAGAGGGACAACCAGAGGAAGAGGAAGAGGTGTGAGTCGGTCCAGAGGGGCCCAGAGAAGACTGGAGTTCCCACCAGCCGCACGAGCTGCCCCAAGGTAAAATCTTTATTTCATATGTTATGCATTATGTGTAATTATTCTGTCTTTCTATGTAGAAAAGCATGCATCACTTTTCCTTCTGAGCTGATAACTGCTTTCACTCTGCTCAGATCAACCGACTACTTATTTTTTAAATGTTACCTGCTAATTGTAGCTTGGTGAATTATTTTTAACGCGAAATAATTTATTTTCTACAGAGGAGCCAGAAGTTCCCAGTCAAGGGCTGTAGCCAACCTGTACAACCGTCCCACTTTCCGCAGGTTGGTCACATTTTCTTCATTTCCACCTTTTATTTCATACCACAGACGTGACAATGCATTACGTTTTCCCACATTCTTGTTTGTCAATGACATTCTTTATGGTGCTGGTCCATTCTTTTGTTGATAGTTATTTATAAATTTGCATATTTCTTTCCAAATTTGAGTTTTACAGCCTACAGGTCTTATCTTTTTTCCTTCAAAGGTGAGGCTTTTGGCCTTGAAAGAAAAGTTCAAGTTGTTACGTACTAAACATTTGTTCGTGATTGTGATGCTTTCTTCATGATCGTGCTTTATGTTCTATTTCCATTTTGCTCTGACTATTTCATTTTTGTTCTTAACAGTACCTACTTATTAACTGCAAAAAATGCCATTCATTGATTTAATTTTGTTTCCAGGAGTGTGGAGGACGCTGAACAGGCCCTTCGGGATGCAGATGCCCAGCTGGTTGAATGTAGCTATTTCAAACGCAATGTTAATTTTATCTTTATGCTGAACATTTAAGATTCTTGACTGTTACAGGCAACTTGCCTACTGCAATTTGTATGCGGGTTGTTTTTTGTGTGTTGCAGTCGTCTACTGGATATGCATTTAAGATAAGTATAATTATTTACAGTACCTATTCCACTGGAACTTATGCCCTTTTGCTCCTGAGCCATTATCCATGTGCCTTGCACATGACAGTGTCCATTTCAAATGAAGGCTTTCAGATTCCTTGGAAGTTGTGTAGCTGTATTTAACATGACTGTACAGCTATACGACTTTTTGGAATTTCGGCCGTCATGCGACGAAACTACCAATTACCATTCATTGCCTACCTAATCCATTTCTGTCAGGCAACGGTGGATAGCATGTCTGTCGAGGAGATGCGTGCCACCATACTGGAGATGGCGCGCACGCACCCTCCCCTCCAGTGGCGCTTCTTGGGGTGCCGCCTCCACCCGTCGGCTCCTCCGTCCACACGGTCCATCCGTCCCCGATCCACCCGAATCACCGGACTGGTGTGTCTGTGGGGGGTGAGTATGCACACACGCACTCTTTGTGTACACTTATCAAAGTGCTTTATTGAAAGTCATCGACAAAGGTATTTGAAACCAGGATGAGTTTTTTATCTTTGTAGTTAAAGACGAAATAGAAGACAGGAAACTCCAGCATCATTCATCTTTGAAGTTATTGATAATCAATCATATCTCCACTTATAGAGAATCGCATGTCCTCTTCATAACTGTCATAGTCTGGACACCTTTCCCCGTTCTAGCTTACTAGTTGCTAAAATTAACCCAAAATGTGATTCTGAAGATTAGTTCAGTTTCAATAACACAAACTTCTAGGGGATAGGTAAAAACATGCTAATATGGTACTTTCTTCCGTCTGTTTTCAACAGATGTAAGAGAGATGCCGGAGGCGGCAGATCGTATCTGTTGTGATCTCTCGGGCCATGGTGGCACTTGCCTGCGGGTGGACCCTGTAAGTACCTACTAGAATATTTTTTTTTCGAATAGCGAGCAGGCGGACAGTTCAGTTTTCGTGTGGTGCAAATATGCATGTCAGCTACTCTAGCGACTAAGGTAGTGTATCAATGAACATAAATCTAACGAACAGTGCCTGTCTAAGAGAGACCTTATCCTGTGTGTACATTCAGTTTGGTAATCAAGTCTGACTACATTTAGGCATAGAGTAGTAATATCAGCCTTCAACGGAGAGCGCAAATAATAAAGATTTACGTCATATACATATGACTAAATATCACCATTTATAGACATTTGACACTAAGGTAGTTTATCAATGAAAATAAATCTAACGAACAGTGCTTGTCTAAGAGAGACCTACTTCCGCAGGAATGCAAACTGCTGACGCAGACGGCCACTGTGGTAGCCGTCGGCATGCTGTACCACGGCGAGCGCGCCGCCACCAACCTGAACCTGGACCAAGCGGAGGCGCTCAACCGGGCCATGCGCTGGCACGCGTACCGCAACTTTATCCTGTGGTGGTAAGTAATGGCAACATAGCTGGCCAAAGCTTAATTCGCAAGCTAAGTAATGAGACTCGAGCCACATATACACACTCCTTAAATTACATGGGCTCGTGACTGGTCGGTGGAGGCCTTGTCAAGTGGTTTGACACGCCCTTCAAAGAGCTGATTTTGTGGCAATTTTGTCTTTATGACATCGTTGTGCGAGATTGTATAGTAAGAAGGTATATGCACTCCGTCATAAGTTTTTTCGCTTGAAAAAGTTATTTTTGTTCTCTTCTGTTAAAGTAGAATTATTGAAAACGTGTTAAAAGTGCAATTCGTTAAAACAAACATTAAAGAGTCAATCATTATAATATGCTTCCATTACAGGTGGGGTTCACTCGGCCGTGTCAACCGGCAACGCATGCCGTCCTGCGTGCTGTGGGCCATCCGGGACGCCTTCCCAAGCCCCACGGGCCAGTACGTCGGCTTCCGCGACGTCCTCCAGGGACTCTAAGGACACCCACGGCGGCCAACACCCGGTGCGCAGCAGCACCGCTTTAACCGCCCCTTGTTCGTATGTTTGTGTTTTGTTCTTACTGCGAAGATGCTATTATCATCGTATATGTTAGTGATGTGTTACCCATGGACTTACGGGGACCGTAAATAATACATGTAATTTGATTTTCTGCAGAGAATAATGATGTATTCAAGCAAAACACCTGACCCGTTATATCACATCGCCGTGGCGCATTCATCGAACATAAAACGTCACCACACGCACTCGCACACTTCCAAAATCAAAACGTTTCTCCCCGTATATGCTACCGCGACCATTCGTCTCCACTCCCCCTCAGCGGTGCGCAAGTACAGGTTAGGAGCCGTGAGGACGATCTCGGGTCAGTACTCGGTGCGGTGCGTACAGCGGTGCGCAAGTACAGGTTAGGAGCCGTGCGGAGCGATCTCGGGTCAGTACTCGGTGCGGTGCGTACAGCGGTGCGCAAGTACAGGTTAGGAGCCGTGCGGAGCGATCTCGGGTCAGTATTCGGTGCGGTGCGTACAGCGGTGCGCAAGTACAGGTTAGGAGCCGTGCGGAGCGATCTCGGGTCAGTACTTGGTGCGGTGCGTACAGCGGTGCGCTAGTACAGGTTAGGAGCCGTGCGGAACGATCTCGGGTCAGTACTCGGTGCGGTGCGTACAGCGGTGCGCAAGTACAGGTTAGGAGCCGTGCGGAACGATCTCGGGTCAGTACTCGGTGCGGTGCGTACAGCGGTGCGCAAGTACAGGTTAGGAGCCGTGCGGAACGATCTCGGGTCAGTACTCGGTGCGGTGCGTACAGCGGTGCGCAAGTACAGGTTAGGAGCCGTGCGGAGCTATCTCGGGTCAGTACTCGGTGCGGTGCGTACAGCGGTGCGCAAGTTCAGGTTAGGAGCCGTGCGGAGCGATCTCGGGTCAGTGCTCGGTGCGGTGCGCAAGTCAGGTTAGGAGCCGTGCGGAACGATCTCGGGTCAGTACTCGGTGCGGTGCGTACAGCGGTGCGCAAGTACAGGTTAGGAGCCGTGCGGAGCGGATCCTAACCTGTAGGAGATTTTAACGAAGATTTAGTGGATCAGCACTGTGATCCACTAAATCCGCACACCAAGCGAAATCCGCACCACGCCGCAACAGCTGAACAAGCCCGCACCGACCAGATCTTGTCGAAATTGCCATACCTTGCAGACTGGCAGTTTCCAGCATGGGTAGTTTCCCCAAGTCATTTGTATAAGTTTGAATTTTGGCATGCTCATCCTCAATTGCATGATTATTCACCATGCCAGCATTTGTATTTATAAGTTCAAGTTCAAAAAAAGATAATCGATCTTTTTCCAAAAACTAAGTGCACACCCGTTACTTGTTACTTGATAGATTCCGGCACCGTTGTATATCAACTTACCACGATGAAAACCATTAAATATTAGCGCACACAAAGCGTAGAAATGAGGATGGAACCACTTTCAGCATCCCCTATGAATTAGCAATACATTTGACACGTGCCCGAAAGTCTTCAATTTTATCGCGTCGTGTTTGAAACAGAGGTGGAAACATGCAGAACATGGTAGCAAACCAAAAACCCTTTACCACTTACCTTTGTCATAGGGTCTGTTCCCTTCACTAGTGTTGAAGAGATCGGACCTCAGGTCTTCCCTTTACCACTTCCCTTCAAGTAAAAAAGCATTGTCTTCTACCACAAATTTGCTCATTAACAATTTATCGCCTTTGAATTGAATATGTTTGAATAAGAAAAGATAAATAAGACCCTTTTGACGAGTTTTTCCTTAAAATTATATAAAATGCTCTTAATTAAAATCGACAAAGTTTTTTCTTTCCCTGAAATCCTTCACAATGCTAAGAGATAGGCCCAACTTCATGCTAGTATACTAGGAAACCTTCAACATTAATTTGCTAAATGTACGTCTTTACTGTTGAAATTAATATTGGTATTACGAAATTTGTCACAACATTCAAGAAAAATAACAATGAAACTCTATGATGCAAAAATGTAATGAAAAGTGTCATACATGCTATCGATATTAACCTAGTGATGAGCATTTTCACCGGCGAAAAAGATGGCATCAAATGGAACTTTGGGAGGCGATTGCGCGTTACAGGGTGAGGATAACGGAAAATGGACTGAACATCTGTGGTGAGGGCGGGCACCTCTTACGAAAACCGGTAAGTGAAAAAAAGGTGACAGTCTACCTTTAATACATAAGCTTAGCAACGAAATCCACACCATGGTTTGCAACGCAAAAATGTTGATCTGGTTGTATAGCAGGCGCTATCCATGGAAAACAAGTCCGGATCCAGTGTCCCCGTCTGTCTGGTTCAGCCTTTTTCAACTATAAGGCTACATTCAGCAGTGTACTGATGGCTGTCGCTCATGCGGACTACGCGTTTACGTACGTGGACGTTGGGGCGTACGGACGCGAAAATGACGCCACCATTTTCGCCAACTCCACGTTCGGCAACTTCTTGCGTTCGGCCAACACGGCAACACCTGCAGCATGACACCCTGCAGCTGCCCAGTGCCGATCCCGGAAAGCTCGAGTATGTTTTCATTGGGGACGAGGCGTTCCAGTTGAGACAGAGGATTATGCGTCCGTACCCAGGATCGAGGCTGGGGGGTATAGGAGAAGATGACTACCACCAGCGGCTCATTTATAACTACCGGTTGAGTAGGGCGAGGCGAGTTGTCGAGAACGCTTTCGGCATATTAGTGACGAGATGGCGCTCACTCAGGCAGCCAATAATGGCAAAGATTGAAACTGTGGACGCTATAGTGAAGGCCACTTGTGTACTGCACAATTTCTTACGTCGCCGCGCTGGTGTCTCGAAAGATGGTACATCTCCCAGGGCGACGTCGACGCGGACGATGGTGGGCGGGTGATGCAGGGCGCCTGGCGCCGGGAGCTCGCAGGCGGTGGTCTAGCCGACATCGGTCGGATGGGGGCCAACAACCCAGCAAGGGGTGCAGCGGACCTTCGCGAGCGGTTTGCGCGATACTTCGTGTCGGCAGAGGGAAGCGTGCCCTGGCAGGATGCCGTTGTGCGCCGAGGCCGACTCTAGGCCCGAGTCTGCCTGCGGGGGCTGTCACTGCCGACAGCGCTCTGCCGCCCGACTCGTCGGTACTAAAGTGTCGTGTTTCAGTGTGCGCGCGTTCATGAACATTATGTGGCCGTCAATAAGTGTCACCGTGTCATTGTTAGTTTGCAGGTTACGTGTCTTGCTCATATCAATGCGTCGAAGTGTGCCGCCGGTGGCGCATCGGGACTCAGTCCTGTGTCAGTGTGCGCGCGTTCATGAATGTCATGTGGCCTTCAGTGTCACCGTACCCTTGTTAATTTTTAGCTTATGTGCCCCGCACATGGCAATGCTTGTATACCTGTAACATATACTCACAAGTCGGGAAGATCGGGACCTGTTGGAGCTTCTTAAAGTGAGGCTGTTATAAGGTTTTGCTGGGGTGCTGATCAGGAATTTCAAGTTAACTTTTATCACAGATGATGTTTTCGTGCATTTAGTCCAGGTCGGGTCAGGTCAGGTCAGGTCACATGTTACAAGGGAACCAAAACTACTTCGTAAATGTTCAAACGGTTTCTGAATGCGAAATCAACTCCACAATCTACCCTAGAAACATGTAGAACTCGAAGCAGTGAACTTAGGTCATCAAAGGCCAGTGACCTGACTGACCTTCACGTGACCTTGACACCCACTAGAATCCATGGGATCAACATCCTTTCACGTTTGATCGCTTAAAGTCACAAAAAAGACAACAAACGCGCTCATAATGTGAGCCGAAATACGCTAAATCGCGATTCCGGCCAAACATGGTCTCGGAAAATAGGTCACAAGTCAAAGGTCTTTTGGGTCAGGTCATACAAATTTTAAGGGTAGGCGTAATATTGATTAACTTGAGGGTACTGAAAGTTTCGTCGCGAACAGCCGCTTTTCGCGCGAGTTTTTGCGAAAAACTGAGAGTGGGGACTGGGGCGTCTGTTCGACACCCTCTTACAAGTGCGAAGGTTAAGGTCGGGCCGTTGACCAATGACGTCAAAAGTGAACCTCTGGTCCCAAAATGTCGCGACGTCGCAACACCCTTCGTGCCAGGGGACCTTTCACTGGGTAATGAAGCTTATATGATCTACATAGTACTATCTACTGGAGGCCTCACAACTTGTATGTAGTTATCTCGTATTTTTTCTTAAGAGTCACCTGAAGTCAGGTCGGTCACGCAACCTCACGATTATTAATCAATGGGGAAATATGAAAACTGTCATTTTGGCGCCGGGAGCCGTCTAAAGCTGTCTCAAGCGCATTAATTCGTGATATTATAAAATATTTGCGAGCCCCAGCATTTACTTTTGCATTCTTGATCTTAAGCGACTTCATTTATGACGTCACTAAGGTCACGAGAAGTTTTCACCAAAAAGTCACGATCAAATTGAGCTAGGGAGTCGGGAAGCCACCAAAGGACTTGTGAGGACCTACCGAATCGAATAAGCGATATGACCTCCTTGGGCTAGCTTCGTGGACTCAGTGGCTCGGCCCTGATCATGACCTGAGGTGAGCACCTTAAATTAACCTCAACAAAAACAAAGCGTATACTATTCGACGCGCTTGAGCATGCAAAACTCGATGGTGCCATTACCTTGGCTCTGTATCCACTATGGTGAAGTTGTTTACCAAAAACCGATCCCGCGACTTGGAGCACTTATACTGATCTCAGAGTTTATCACCTGACCTGTGACGTCATCGGTGACCTCGAGACCAATCAAAATAGGTTTCGCTCGACAGTCTTTCCAAGGCTTTCAGACGCCGTTTGAATTTTGACGATCGACCAACTAGTTTCGGAGATAGGAGAAGGGCTCTGGAGACCCCCCCCCGTCACTCACTTCATGGAAAATACCCGTCATGCGTGGGTTAAGATCTCTATACATACGGGACGTAAACGCGATGGGCACGTAAGCGGATAAGGCTTTACCGGTTCACTGTATATGTGAAGCGGTCTTTAGGCAAAAAAAAAAAATCAGGCGGCTATT